CCCCATCAAAATCCCATCAAAATTCTTCACAGACCTTGAGAGAAAAATAATCAACTTTATATAGAAAAACAAAAACCCAAGATAGCCAAAACAGTCCTGTACAATAAAGTAACTTCCGGAGGCATCACCATCCCTGATTTCAAGTTCTATTACAGAGCTGTATACAGTAATGAAAACAGTTTGGTATTGGCATAAAAACAGAGACATTAGCCAATGGAATTGAATCAAAGACCATGATATTAACCTACCTATGAACACCTGATTTTCGACAAAAAGCTAAAATTATACAATGGAAGAAAGAAAACATCTTCAACAAATGGTGCTGGCATAACTGGATATCAACCTGTAGAAGAATGAAAATAGATCCATATCTATCATCATGAACAAAAATCAATTCCAAATGGATTAAAGACCTCAATATAAACCTGACAACACTGAACCTGATAGAAGAGAAAGTGGGAAGTAGAAAGTGCAACACATGGGTACAGGAGACCACTTCCTATGTAAAACCCCAGTAGCACAGACACTGAGAGCAACAATAAATAAATGGGACTGAAACTGAAAAGCTTCTGTAAATCAAAGGACATAGTCAATTAGACAAAAAGGCAGCCTACTGAATAGGAAAATATTTTCATCAACCCCACATCAGACAAAGGTCTGGTCTCCAAAATATATAAGGAGCTCAAGAAATTAGATATTAAAATTATAAATAATCCAATATTAAAAATGCAGTATGGAACTAAACAAAGAATTCTTAACAGAAGAAGTTCAAATGGCCAGAAGATACTTAAGAAAATGTTCAACATCCTTAGCTATCAAGGAAATTCAAATCAAAACAACTTTGAGATACCATCTTAAACTTGTCAGAATGGCTAAGATCAAAACTACTAATGATAGCTTATGCTGGAGAGGATGTGGACTAAGGGAAACACTCATCCATTTTGGTGAAAATGCAAACTTGTGCAACCACTTTGGAAATCAGTATGGCATTTTCTCAGAAAATTGGGAATCAATCCACCTCAGGATCCAGTAATACCATGCTTGGGAGTATACCCAAAAGATGCTCAATCATACTACAAAAGCATTTGTTCAGCTATGTTCATAGCAGCATTATTTGTAATAGCCAAAACATGAAAACAATATAGATTCCCCTCGTCTAAAGAAAGCATAAAGAAAGTGTGGCACATTTACACATTAGAGTAAAAAGCAGTATACTCAGCAGTAAAAAACAATGACATCTTGAATTTTGCATGCAAATGGAGAGAATTTAAAAACACTATCCTGAGTGAAGTAAACCAGACCAAAAAAGATGAATATGGTTTGTACTCACTCACAAATGCATACTAGCTATAAACAAAGGACATTGAGCCTATAGTTCATGATCCTAGAAAGGTTAAGTAATAAGGTGAACCCAAAGAAAAATATATAGAGACCCACCTGGAAATTGGAAACAGACAAGATTGCCTCACATAACTGGAAGCAGGGGATTGGGGGAGAAAGAGGTTGAAAGGGGGAGAGTTAAGGAGAACTTGAGGGAATGGGATAGTCAAGATGGAGGAAGGATAGAAATGAGAGAAAGGAAATAGATATCTTGATTGAGGGAGCCATTATAGGGTTATCAGAAACCTGGCTCTAGAAAAATTCCCAGGAATTCACAAAGAGAACCCCACCTAAGACCCTAAGCAATAGCGGAAAGGGGACCCGATCTTGACTAGCCCTGTTGTCAGACTGATGAATATCTTAAATATCACCATAGAACCTTCATCCAGCAACTGATGGAAACAGAGGCAGAGACCAATATTGGAGTACTACACTGAGCTCCCCAGAGTGGAAGGAATGAGAATATGAGCAAAAAGGTCAAGACCATGATAGATTGATCCACTGAAACCTAACTAAAGGCGTGAAGGATCACAAGGAAGGAATCACAGGCTAGAAAAGAAAAAAGAATCCTATGCTCATGGATTGGCATAGGTAATGTGAAGATAACCATAGTCCCAAAACTTATTTACAAATTCAATGCAGCAATCTCAATAAAAATTCTTAATTCATTCATCACCAAAATAAAAGAAATTGTCCTAAAATTCATATGGAACCACAAATAATCCCAAATAGCTAAAACAATCCTGAATAAAAACAACAATACTGGAGGGATTACCATTCTAGATCTGAAGATATATTGCAGAGCCATAGTAATAAAACAATATGGTACTGGGACAAAAACAGACATGAGGACCAGTGGGAAAACAACTGAAGACCCAAACATGAGTTCATATAACTTCAGATGTCTGCTATTTGACAAAGGTGCCAAAAATTTAAACTGAAGGAATAAAAGCATCTTCAAGAAATGTTGCTGGGAACTGCATGTTCACATGCAGAAGAACGAAATTAAACCCAATCTGTCACCTTTCACAAAAACGAAGGCCAAAACTGATCAAAGACCTAAATGAGAAAGATGAAACAGTGAAATTATTAAGGAAAACATAGCCAGTGCCCTATCAGATACAGGTGTAGAGAAGGACTTTCTGACGAGGACTCCATTTGCCCGAGAATTATGGCCAACGACTGCCAAGTGGGACCTCATACAACAAAAAGCTCCTGCAGAGCTGAAGAAGAAATCACCTGGCTGACGACAAAGCCTACAGAGTGGAAGAGAATCTTTGCCAGCTACACATCTGACAGTGTAAGAAATCCATAATATATAAAGAACTCGGAAGCAAGAATTAAACAAACAAATGATACATTCAAAACCAATGGCCTGGGTTCTCAGAAAAAAAAAGATTAGAAAATATCTCAAAAATGTTCATTGGTCCTTATTATTTAGGGAAATGCAAATCAAAATAACTGAGATTTTATTTTACACCAGTCAGAATGGCAACAACAAAGATCAAAGAAAAAAAAGAAAAGAAAAGAACGACAAATTTTGGAGGAGGTGTGGGGAAAAGTGAACACTCATTCTTTGTACTGCAGACTGATGCAGCTACTGGGGAAATCAGTGTGAAAAATGCTCGCAAAGCTAAAAGTAAATCTATTATACGACTCAGCTATAGCAGTCCTTGGATAGTGTACTCCATACACTCTTGCTCAACCATGTTCACTGCTGCTCTATTCATAATATAGGAAATAGAAACAACCTAAATGAAAATGTGGTACATATACAATATGGAAGATGATTCACCTGTAAATAAAAATGAAGGCATGAACTTTGTGGGTAAATGGTTGGAAATAGAAAATCATATTGAGTGAGGTAACCCAGATCTAGAAAGACAAATGTCGCATGTTCTGTCATAGGATGCTCCTACTTCTAAATCTTTAGGTATGGGTATGTTACTTAAAGTACATAAACTGTAAGTATAAAAAGGGATCATTGCCTGGTTGGGGTTGGGTGGGGGAGCCACTTGAATAGTATTGAATAAGTGACCAGATTGGGGAAGTGGAAAGGGGAGCATTAGTTAAGGAGGGAAGGGAAATAATATTGAAAAGGGAGGAAGGTAAAAATAGTAAGGATATCTAAAAAAGTCACAAGAAGTCATACGATTATTTACCTACTTAAGACACCTATAGGAAGTTGGCTTATAAATATACACATGTAGTTCAAATGAAATTTCCCATGTAGACAGACCATGTTCCCTCCAAAAGCCATAGACCACCTAAGGAAACCCAGACACCAGGCATGAGAAGCCCTCTTTTAAGTTGTTGGTCAGTGCTGTACAAGAGACTCCCAAAACATACAGGCTATTGCTATTGCCTTGGTGGTCCCCCAGATGGAGAAAGTAAGCCCCTATTGCTCAAGACACCATGCACTTCAGATGCATGCCCCAGGGACCATGAACTAGAACTAACCTGAATTTCTCCTCCCTGAGGACTAACTTTCATGGTACCAGGAGTTGCCAGGCAACCTTATAAAGGAGGGAAGCCACCAACAGTCCTCCAGCTATGAAGTCTATTAACTGCAGCAAGATTGACGGGACACAATAGCCCTAAGGGTCCACCAACTCTGGAACTGGACAGGGCCTGCACAGGCTTAAGTCAGGCAGAGTCCCAGGAGCTGAGAGTGGGGAATGGACACCAGCTCCCACCGTTAGCCAAGAAGCTAGCTCAAGCTCGCATCATTTGCAAAGGAAACATTAGTTTTTGCCAATTGAGTCTCACTGGGGATATTAACCACACTTAAGGGTAAGGCCCATGCCTAGAAGTAGATGGCCAACCCAAAACTCAGGGGTAGTTTTGTGTACTTTTTGTCTTATATCACTTTGTTTGACTTTTTTTTCATCTCACATTTTTTTGAATGTATATTATGATTTCCAATTTTGTATTTCTATAGGTTTTATTTTTGTCTCTTGTGCTTTTTATGATACTTTTATTCCACTTTCTCATGTTTTTTTGTTGATTGTTTGCTTTCCAAAGAGAGAGGTAAAGAAGATGTGGAGTTGGGCAGGTGGGAAGATCTAGGAGGTGGGGAAGGAAAACAATGGTCAGAATACACCGTATAAAAAATATTTTCAATAAAAAAGAATTCACAAATGAAGCTTACCAAAGTTTTTGTTGTTGTTGCTGTTTCTCAAATTTCTAGACTTCCGTTAAAAACCATACTTTGTAAGGCTAAATATTTTTTAAAAATCCACAGATTTCTGGCCATACGACCAAGTAAATCTTACTTTGGCAGTGAACTCCAAGGCCTGTGTTCTGCTGCCAGCCTCACTGTCCCTCCATGTGTTCTCCATGTCTACCCTCATGGCCCCAAGCGGAGCCCTGGTCCCAGCTGTCCTCTGCTGCCTGAGTTACAATTCCCACACTAAGGTGTCCTCTCTGACAACATGTAAGGGGATTCAGTAGGCTGGATTTTAAGAGAGGATCTCTTTATAGTGCGATCAAATCTTAAAAACATCTAAAGCTAACGAACCTAAAATAGAAAACCTCTTTTTTTTCACCTCTGTTCTTATATTTACCACTTTTATTTGACAATAGCCTGTTAGCATTGTTTGTTTCTAAAGATCCCTCACCTCTGGATAAAGATGAAAGCGTTTCACTGTATTGATTACCAGGGGATATTCAGTTAGCCTGTCATTCATGATCATCCACAGTCCTTCCAGAAATGAAGGCGCTTCGATGATGGTCTTGAAGTAGGAATAATAAAGTCCCTTTTAAGAAAGACACACACTGTCAATGTCAATAAAACCTTGAGTTGTTTATAGAACATTTTTAAAACAGTTTTTTAGATCATCTTTCTTTTGTTAAAAAAAGAAAGTCATGAAGAAGACTTCCTAATGACTTCTTAGTGTTAAGATTCTCAGACTAAAAAGTATGTATCTTCACGTGTCTTCTCTATGATTCTTTCCAGCTTTCTGAAGGCCTGAGATTATTCAGATTATGTGGATGGTTGCATGTAGCACGGATGGTGCTTTAAGACATGCATCTAGTCAGTGTACTTTTAACTTGACTAAATCTATTTTTCCCATATGCTTAGAAGTTGACATATAATAAATTCTATCAAAAACAGAGGTATCTTCATGTCGAAGTGCAACTCCGCATTTGGAAAGGAACGACAGTTTTATTAACTAATAACGCATGCTCGTCAGCATCGGGTGACTGGTCCAGCTTACTTTGGAGCTGCAGCTGGTGCCTGAGCTGCCTTCTGCTGTTCACAAATGCTGTGTCATAAAGTGATCACCCCTGTGTAGTTCCAGCACAAGGAACAATGTCCTCTTTAGACCAGGAGGGGATGTCAACTCAAAAGTCTATACTGTTTTATGTTATTTTCATCTTAAATTTGCTGTTTGCCAAAATAAGTAAATAAAGAAATAAAAAGTGCCACAGTGTTTTTCAAAGTAAAGCAAGTGCCCCCATTCTTCAAAATTTTGAAATAATTGAAACTCCATGCTCATTCCTGCTTCACCCAACCGCTTCAGTGTTGATATGTTAACCAATACCAGGGGCTTCTAAATTCAAGCTGGTTCCTAATTGGCTGTTTCTGCGCCGTTTAGATTTTCCTTTCAGTTTGTGAAGATAACACAGCAATAAAACTACCAAATCATACCTAATATGCCAATGTCTACCTTCAGGGAAATAAAATAAAAATGATTTCTGTTCATAATAAGCTATGGTTTTATGGGAGATGCTATAGTGTCTGCATTCATCCATTCACCCTTCACTTCACTACTGTCCCGTAAGTCTGACATGATTTCTACCTTACAGGTAGATGACTGAGACTCAGAGACAACCGATCAGCCCTCACAGAAATAAGCACAGGACTGCTGTCTGCACCCGGTGTCTGTCCCCAAAGGCCCACCCCAACTATGTTCTTATTTAATAGTAGTTCATATGGTGCCCTTGGACATAATGCCTTTGAGGCATTCAAGAGCCACACAGACACTAATGATATATTCAATCCCTGAACCTAAGCCCCGAACGAATCCTCCAGTGCTTCAAGAGGAATTGCAGGAAAACAAAAAGCAGTGCCATCATCTGTGTACTGACCAACTCACACAGGACGGGCATGAAGGCAATGGGAGTCGCCCAAAACCCATTTCAGTTCCTGCTAAATCTCTACCGTATTGTCCCACTATCCTTACAGCACAGATTAGTTAGAAGAAAGAACCAAACCATTTCCGTGCGGAAGGTCATCTCCCGTTCCAAAGATGAGAGGTGAGAAAAATGACGGTCATTTTCAAAAAGGGTTATTAAGTGTATCCTGGGGGGAAAGAAACATATGATAATAATGAGAATGGGCTTCAGAACCAGCCCTAAAACAGTTTCAGAGCTCAGAAAGCCATACAATGAAAACAAGTTTTATAACAAATGCTGAGATAATTTTACAGTTGACTAATGTAGTTGCTTGTATATTCTTGAGAATTTTATGATTCACCATCACACACATTTCAAGCTGCTTGACTCCATTCTTCCATGTGCATGTACATCTCCTGTTGTACATGCACAGTTCCTATTGTACATGCACAGTTCCTATGGTGCCCTCTACTCTTCTTCCACATCCAGCTCCTTAGGAACACAGGAAGAACTGGGCAGTGGTGGCACACTCCTTTAATCCCAGAACTCAGGAGGCAGAGGCAGGCAGATCTCTGTTGAGTTTGAGGCCAGCCTGGTCTACAGAGTTAGATCTAGGACAGCCAAAGCCATGCAGAGAAATCCTGTCTCAAAAAATTAAAAACCATAAAGGGCTATTGTTTTTTTATGTTGCAGGAGTGATTCAAATGGGCTGGAAAATACTTTTGTAACCACTGAAAAGCACTTCTAATATAATTTAAATAAAATCACTATGAAATAAGGTAATTTTAAAAGAAGTGTAAGTCCATACAAAGAATGGCCTTTTAAGTCCCCCAGAGGCCTATACTTGAAGGTCCACAGCAGTGAAACTCAGCAGCCATTGCTGGTGACCAAGGAGTGTACGTGGTGAAATTAGTCACAGTCAGGGAACACGCTTGCTGCCCTCAGTTTATAAAATCTTCCCAACAAAAATACAAAGTTCATGTATCAACATAGTTTCTGCCCTGGATTCACATGCAGGTCATATGCCAGAAATCCAACAGTGTAGAAGAATGGCTCCTTCCTGGTCCAGCCTCAGGGCTCACAACAAAATTATTAGGCAGATGGGAAGGCAGAGAAACACTCGCCAGGAACCTTCCTATGTCTATGAGATGTTAGCTCACGGAGAAATGAAGTATTCCAGATAAAATTTTCAGGTTTTTTAACACGTGATTTAAAAAATATTTTTTTTAATTTTTTTTAAAGATAGTGCCAGGGAACACAGAGTGCAGACTCAGAGCACTTCTGCCACACCACTGCGGGAAAGGCTTGTTTTCTCAAGGCAGGATCTCACTATGCCTCGCAGGCTGCCCTCAAACCCATAATTCTGCCACCTCAGTCTCTAAGTGCTTGAACTATAGATGTGCTCCACCATTTCCAGTTCAGAAAGAAAGTGAGCTTTATGTCCTTTTCTGAGTTTTAGATTGCAGGCTTTCCTAAGACTTTAGCTCTAAACTTAAGTCAACAATAACGTCCAGGTATTCCAGGAAAGCAAAGGCTTTAGGTGAGATAAACTGAAAAGCCTTATGGGGATGGGAGATACTTAAAGAAACAGAGGGGTGAGTCTTTGGTAAAGCGAAGAAATTAATTTGTGGGGCTGGCGAGAAGACTCAGCGGGTAAGATGATCAGCACTCACAGGCAGCTCACAACCACGTCTGACTCCAGCCCCAGGGAATCTGATGCCCTCATCTGGCCTCTATGAGAACACACGTGGTGTACAAGCATACATACAGATATAATACCTATGCATATAAAATTTTTACTAGCCCCCAGGGCATCTGCACTGTAAATGATGCTGTGCACATGAACCGTATACAGAAGTGATGCATAGGTGTCAGTTGACACGGGTATCGATGTCTTGCTTTGCTATTTACAAATGGCAGTGTCAAAATTTAACCCACATATTTCTATGTATTTTAAGCTGAGACAAAAATCTTACCAGTGCAAAATCCCCACAAAGGCAGCTGAAAAAGAAAAAAAGAGAAATAATTTAAAAACTTTTTATTGCTAAATGTCTTTAAAATAAGCACTTAGCACTTCAAATGCACAGCTAAAGCCAGAGCTCACTGAGCTAGACAGTCAGCTCTTTCTGTCTGCTTGAGCCAGGAAAGCAGCCCAGAAGAAAGTAAAGTAAACTGAGCCATGTTCCCTCTGCAGGTGGGGAGGACCTGGAAGCTTTACATATCCCTCCTTTTAAGAGTGATTAAGTGGGTGACTTGATCTTTTTGTGACTTTTCAGTATGACTGTCTATTGTTTCTTATTCTCTTCTTCCTTTATATAAAGTGTTTTTTAAAGCATGTATACTATGCCAAGGTAAGGTTCTTCTGGAAAACACTCTGCATAATCCAGCCTAGAACACCGTCCCTTGCACTCTTCAGTGATCATTAAATGCAGAAAACCCCTTGTTCAGGCATGCCTTTGAAAGCTAAGTTGTACTAGTCAGGTCCTGGACAGAACCTAGATCCAGGCACAATCAGGGGTCCAGATGAGCACAAGGCTAACAGGGGATGGGGAACAAGTCCAGTTCCATGCTACTCTAGGCTTGCAGCTTTCTGCAGAGCTCCAAACACAGTGACCAGGAGTGGGAGCCGAGAGGGAGGAGCAAAAGAACAAGTTAAATGCCACAACGCCCCTACTTCTTCCAACGGCTCTTCCTAGATGAATGCCCTTTTATCACAATAAGCTTACACTCATTTCCAAAGTTTTGAATGTTGGTTTTAGTAATTCCCCAGGTCCTTGATGACAGGGTGGAGGTAACTCACTCAGCCACTGCAGTAGTCGCACAGACTTTGTTTTGCATTTCCCAGGGTTGCCCCAAGTACACTTGGCAAGATACCTCTTAAGCCACCAGCATTAACTTCTAAAACTGTTTTTTTTTTTAAACCATGCATCTCGGGTAACAGAATAAAAGCGAAGCAATTCAATAAAGAAACATAAAGTCACCATGTTGAATTTCCCAGCCCTGCCCCTCTGCCTACATAGTGACCATGCTGGGCTCATCTTAAATTCTTCTCAGATTTGCTTGTATTGTATCAGGAAAGGCAAACTATGGCCCACTCTCTGTTTTCATGATATGCTCAAGCTAAAATGTCCTTTGTTTTCAAAAAGTTATTAAAACAATGATTCAATAGATGCCGTGCAGTCCCTCACACAAAACAAATGTTCTCTGCGTCACTCTGAAATAAAAACGCATAACCTGTATATTCAGCTGTGAAAAATGTCCTGAGATAAAGTTTAGTTACCAATGACAGAGGGTATCCTATTTGACCATATTTTTTTTTTTTTTTTTTCCAGTCTCTTGTTAGTGATATATAGTGAGAAATATTTAAAATTACATTTTCAAAATAAAAACATGGAAGAGCTGGCTTCAGGGAGTAAGAAATTGCTCTGCAAGTGTGAGGACCTAAGTCCAAATCGCCAGGACCCATGCGATAAAGCCAGGCATAACTGCATATTATATAACCCAAGACTAGGGGTGACGACAAGCAGAGCCTGAGAGCTGGCTGGCCAACCAGACTACACTAAAGGGTGAGCTGATATTTCAGTGGGAGAACCTGTCTCAAGCAAGTAAGGTAGAGAGTGGCAGAAAAGGACGGCCCAGGTCCTGCTCTGGCTTCTGTTAGTCTGTGTAGTACAGTGCACACCCCACCCCACGCACACATATTCTCACAAAAGGCCAAATATGATCCACCTATCTTTCCCAAGATCCTCAAAATCCAACCGTGTCTCCCAGCCCCTCCTGCCACGACTCCCCAAAAGATGCATCTCAGTTTTCCTGTCCTGCTTGTCTTTACTCTGCCCCTATTCTTTCTGTACATTGGTGTTTGGCTTGCAAATCTCCTTGCCACCTAATTGTCCACGTTCACTCAGATGTGGAGAACACCCAAAGTGATGGTCTTCATCCCCTCCTGTCTCCCCTGCTGCGCTTCAATTTCAGCCGCTACAATCTCATCTGTTACCTTCTCTGTCAGTCTCTCCTCCCCACCTCTCCTGCTGCAGCTATCATTAGACCATTGCAGCCTGGTTCTAGGAAGAGTTTCCCAACTGTTCTTTCTGCTTTCGTTCTCAGTACCCTCCAGCCCACAGCACACACTTCAGCCTGCAGGATCTCGAGAGCACGCACTGACCAAGTAGCCTTCCCGGAGGGAGAAATCACTCAGTGCCAACATCACATAGCTACCAAATGCCATGGAAATTTTTTTATAGAACAATTAGTGTTTTAAATATAAATATCCATATTTGTATATAAAGTGAACACTTAGTTATTCATAAAGACTGTTTGAACAGCCTTCCCAAGGAGCAACACACCAACTTGTTATCCATTACTAAATGGTCAGTTCTGAAAATATATACAGACAAGTAACATTATATGGACTGAGAAGGTTATATTTATGTACTTAGGAATGTGTGTGTAACAGTATTTAAAGAAAATGAGATTATGAATTTTTAGGAGAGCAAGGGGATGCATGAGAGGATTTGAGGAGAAAAAAAGGGAGGGGATAAGTTATGCAATTTTATTATCTTAAAAAAAATTAACAATTAAAAAAACAAAACAAAAAACTAAGAAAAGAATCCATGTCTTCACACAGAGAGTTCAAATGCCTCACACCCATCACTGAGCTGAAAGCTTATGTCAATAGCATCCTCCTTCTATTCTTCATGCCTTTCTTTTCATCCTAACCTTGTTTCCACACCATGCTGTCTTACTGCTAAGACAGGTAACTTGCCATTCTGTCAGCATCTCTCTCTCTCTCACACACACACACACACACTGTTCCCAGCTCCACACGGCCATATATCAGCTCTTTGCTACAACTGAAGTTCCACCATTTTCTAAAAGTTCTCCCTTTCTCTCTCTCTCTCTCTGAGCTACATTCGCCTTCCATTCTAAAGAATTAACTGTCTCTCCTGAGCACAGCTAGTAAAGTTATTATTCATTTAGTAAAGTCATCCATGATTTCCCTAGCCACTCACGGGTAACCATGTGCCACACCTCGGTACATTGGAGCTTGGATTTCAGAAAGCAGCCCTTAAGGATTGTGGCTGTGGCACGGGGTCTGCTGGCATAGACGGCAGATGGAAATCTAAGTACGAATTTCAATTATTCCTCAATTACTGTTAACAAGTCAATGTGACAACCCCTTTTTACTCCAGCAGCCACATAGCATATGGTGGGAAGAGGCGGGAATGACCTGTATTGAGGTATTTGTGTCTCTATTTATATCCGCAGTTAGGGTGGCAAAGCTCTCGTCCCAAATACCAGTCAGCAGCAATGCTTAAGTTACCTCAGAAACCACAGAAAATTAGAGGTATAAATGGAGGAAATGCTTGCATGAAAAAAACTCCTAGCAGCTACCGCTAAGCTCGTCAGAGTGGAAGTAAAAGGGTATCAGCGGGGGTAACGAATGCACCGTCTACTCTCCTTCCTCTGCCTTTTAGTGATCTCAGCTAAGAAACTTTGATTCAAAATACAAAGCAGCATAACCCTGTCCCGAAGGTAGTCAACCGCTTCTACAAACTTGTGTTGACTAGCTGCTCTGATAGGCTTAACTTTTTGTTGGCATACAGGCGACCACAAAGTCGGACAATCCCACAGGATAGTTTAAAACTGGAGCTCGAAGGCTGAGAATTCCTGGCATGAGATTCTCAGACATCACCATCAACTCTTCCAACATACCAAACACTGGGGAATGAAATTCCCCAAGACCTATGTCAACCCTTCAAGGCTTTAGGATGGGAGGTAATCCTGCCCGGCTGGGACTGGAGCAGGCTCTGCTCACCTACACCAAAGAGGGTCCTGTGGGAGAAGCGATGATTATGCAGGGCCTGCACCCTGTCGCGGAGCTGGTCCAAGAGGCTGTGGAGGAATTGGAAGCGGCCGTGAAGAAGGAGCTTGGTGACCTCTTCCAGGTGTAAGTAATTTTGCGCGTTCAGATCTCGGGTCCTCTGCTGCGCGTATTTGCGGGCGCCCCCAGGCAGGTTCCTGCTGCCCAGGAAGAAAGGCTGCAGCAGCCACCTCTTGGCGCGCTCCAGCGGGGGCTCCACCGCCCCTGCGCCCCGACTCCTGGTTTGCGATGCGTCGGGGTCCGATTCCCTGAGTTTACTCCTCGTCGGCCCCACCATTTTCTCATAGTCTATGGTCAGGTGGATGGAGCTGGGTCACCGCAGGGCGAGGTTCGGGGGCCCGGCCTCACCTGGCAGCCTCAACGACCAGCCCCCGCCGCCGTTGCGGGCAGCCTCGTCGTCATGGCGACCGTGAAACAAAGATGGCGAGCGTGGGGTCCAGGAAACCTTGCGCTCTCCACGTGCAGCCCGCGCGCACGACTTGCGAGTGGTGTGACCTGCCCCAGGGCCTGGGCCCTGAAGGACAGTACTCGTTAGCTCATTCTTTATGTAACATGGTCTGTTCCAACGAAGTTGCTCAGATCCTGGCTCGGAGAAGAAAGGGACGGGCTCAGGAGTTCATTACCTCCCTAAACCAGAAGCCACCCTGGTCCAGGAAACGGTCTTGGCCTCACAGTTTCTATACAGCACTATAGAGGCCACTGCCACGCCACATTCCAGCCGTCAGTCTATACGGCTGGAGTCCACAACACTTCACGCATCCATTTTAGGACTTTATTGAGCTTCTAACAGACAATTACCATAATGTTGACCAAGTTCATCTTCATGGAAGAAGACTGCTTGAAAACGCTCATAGTTCCTCCATATCCCTCAGAGCTTAAACTTGTTGGTTTTACTCCGCGATACCTTCAGTAATATTTCCCAATCTACCTTTCCGACTTTAATTTCCACTTTCCTGGACACAGATCTTCCGATGAGCATCAGTGAAATACACACACACACACACACACACACACACGCACGCACGCACGCACGCACATATACATGCCATCCCATGGCTTTCCCAGCCTTTTCTCCTGCCTGTTTGAATGCTGTCTTCTGACCCCAAGCCCTTTCTCTAGTTCACATTAATTATGTCTTCGCCTAAGAGCTAGAGTGCTCACTGGTAGTTATATTTATCTGCTGACTAAATCCAGTACATGTGAAACAAGTAAGTTGTTGCTAATTTATGTTTTATAAGATTTTTCTCAAGAGGCATTTCTGCATTCCTGGTACTGTTTGTTGCACTCAAGATGTTCATAGGAAATAGAGGACCAGAAATATAGTACTTTGCTCATATTTTAATAGGTTGTAACTTTGTCTATCCAATTTTGAGTTTAAAATACAAGATATTATTAATTATTGTTTGGCAAACACACAATTGTATATTTAACACATCTTGTCATGTAGTCCAGGTTGGCCTTGAACTCCTTTCTCAGTCTCCCTAATCCTAAGATTACAAGTTTTGTCTCCATATTAAGCTGGCAAAAACCTGTTCTTAAATGAATCCACAAAATCAAAATGGAGCTCCTTATTTTTAATGAGCACGTTTTAACTCTGCATTTTGTAGCAATACGGGGAGTGCAGGGATTACCTCTTCTTTTCTTGTTAATTTCCTGTAGTCTCTTTCCAGCTGCCTGAAGAGGCATGTTCTTACCTTTGGTTCATCCCTTACAAATAAAATCTAGTCCCTTTCACCCTTAAAATAATCTTTTTTTTTATTGAGAATAAGAAAAAAAAAGTTTCCGCCTCCTCCCAGCCTCCCATTTCCCTCCCCCTCCCCCCACT